ACTCATACTTTTCTTTATACAAACGGCGGTACACTGCCTGTAAGCTCTGGAAAACAGGTTCCAAGTATAACTTATTGGAGTCCCTCGGCAATACTGAGACGGCAAATTGGGCAGATCACGAAGAAACTGTTTAAGTACCTTTGATGCTGTAGTCTCCTCCCTAACCCTTTTTCTCTGAACTGGAACCTCACCCTCTGCTACACCCAACCCACATGTGAGAACAATGTGAACACATTAGTAACAAAGTACAGGACTTAAGAAGAAAGCCGTGCACACTTTGACTCTGGCCCCATTCACTCGCAGATGGTACTTCATGGACCACGATCTTCTGCTTTCTCTCTCCTTTTTCTCCACAGGCTCGACACAGTCAACCAACCCTTTAACAAAAGCAACCTTTTCTGATTTTACATTTATTTAAAATCAAACGCCTCCATCAGAGCAAAACTTTACCGCCGTGATCCCCAGTGGCGAGCTACCTAAACGAGTTAGACGGTTAGAATTCTTCAGTCACCGAAGCCAGTCGGAATATACGGTTAGAATTTCTCTATAAAACAAGACTTTTGTTTGTTAAAATTGTTCTAGATTTTAATAGGACGTAGCCATTCGTCATGTCGATCTATTTTAAGGAAAAAAGAATTTTATTTATAATCAAACGCCTCCTTCAGAGCGTAACGTTAACGCCGTGATCCACAATGGCGGACTACCTAAACAAGATAGACGGTTAGAATTCTTCAGTCACGGAAGTCAGTCGGAATATACGGTTAGAATTTCTCTTTAAAACATGGCTTTTGTTTGTCAAAATTGTTCTAGATTTTAATAGGACGTAGCCATTCGTTATGTCAATCTATTTTAAGGAAAAAGCAATTCGAGAAAATTTGGAGTTAGACGGTTAGAATTCTCTGCCGACGATATCATGAAGATGGACTGGGCGGTGAGGTGCAAGGGCTTTGTAGCTATTTGCATGCCTCTGTGCTCACGAGGATCTTTGCACGATGCACGCCACAGTCTAAACGGAGAGCAGATAGAGCGTTACTTTGTGCAGATCGCCTGTGCACTGAGATATCTTCACGTTAGGTGCGCTGTGCACGGGGACGTGAAGCCCGCCAACATTTTGCTAGATGAATCCAACAACGCTATTCTTGGCGACCTGGGGATATCCCGCTTCTTGGCCCGCGGACAAGATCGAGTGAGAAGCTGGAGTATACTTGGAACAAGAGGCTTCCTCGCTCCAGAGATCCAGTCTGACGTCATCGTAGATCCTTTTTTGGTGATTAACTGCAGACTTTTCTTTTCAGTGAGCTTGATTGTTTGCTAGTTTATCACTATTTTGTTTAGCTTCCTTTTGTTGTGCAGGTTTGTAGTTGCTTTGTTTGTTTCTTTCTCGGTCTATCTGTGCGTTTTGCGTTCGTTTTGTTATTCTCTTGTTGTTTCTGTTGTTAGTAGTAATGTTTTCCCTTACCTGTTGTTTGTAAGCTGTGATTTTCTTTTCTTAAGGCCATGTATGTATTACTTCCTTCCTTTGTTTTTCTGTCGTGGTTTTGTTTATTCCTGTCTGCTGCTGTGTTTATAATTCATTGTCTTTATTTATTTACCTTTTCTTCTTTCTGAGTGCTCCGTGAACGTCTTTGTATACTACGGCGACTGTTATTTCTAGGTACCATTTGCTCACTCTTGACAAACACTATAGATCTCTGACATTTTTGTCTCTACGCAGACGGACGCGTACGCACTTGGAGCAACGCTGTGGTGTCTGGTCTTCAAACCTAACCCTCGCAACTGGGAGGATCTTATGACCGCTATGGAGTCCGACAGCACCTTGCTGCCACGCTTGGGTTTCCACAGGTAAGCACGCCATTCTTTGGGTTCTTTAGCACAGCCTTTTTAATTTTTAAAACCTAGTTCTGCTCAGCTCTCTTAACTGTTATCATTACTGCTTTTAATTCCTCCTCGGTGAAAGATGAATTGTTTCTTTAGCACGTTCTTGCTTGATGTCTGTCACGTTTAAGCTCTAGCAATGTCATCCTATTTACAATCTACTTGCTTTCTCTCGAAGTTGCCAGTTGCTTATCTCAGTGCCATTGTTTACTCCACAGATTCGTTCTCTCCAGGCTTGTACAGAACAACCCACGACTCCGACTTTCAGTCTGCGATCTCCTGGCATTTCTGCGTGTGCGCTTTGAGAGGTTCAGGGTAAATCATAGACTGTCTGTAAAGGGTGCCGAAGTGCTGTATTTACATGCTTTATTTTCACTTCACTAACAAACGTTTTCTAAGTTTTCTGATTTTTCTCAGCTCCCGTTGAATTAATATAACTAATACCCTAACTGCTCATATTTAAAAATTGAAGTACTAAATGGACTACTAATTTGCTGACAAATGTTTCCACTCAACCACCATGTGACGCCGTGTTTTGTACCTGTGTC